AAGAAAGAAAGAAAGAAAGAAAGAAAGAAAGAAAGAAAGAAAGAAAGAAAGAAAATAAATGTAGGTAGACAAGAGAGCAGCAGATACCTGAACACAGGAATGGAAAGGGGAGAAATGCTTTCAAGTTTGCTCTAGCTGAAGCTCCTGAGCAATCATGGAAGAATCTCAACTTGGAGATATGAAGGCTCCCTCTTGTGGCTGCTCCTGGGAGAGTAGGCAATGATTGTAGGAGTAATTAGCAAGGAATTCAGTCAGCATTCCCATTTATTCCTTCCACGGTGCATTTAAAGAACAAGGGTTCTTTTATTCCAATACCCTAAGACAACCATCCTTTTTTTTTATGGCAAAGTTCAACCGTAATATTTTTATTTTTTATATTTTTTATTTTACTCTTTCAGTGTTCCAAGATTCATTGTTTATGCACCACACCCAGTGCTACATACAGTACATCCCCTCCTTAATACCCACCAACCAGGCTCACCCATTTATTTCTCAGAGTCCACAGTATCTCATGCTTTGCTAAGACAACCATTCTTAATATTTTAAGTTTTCTTCAAGCTTCTTTTCTGTAAGTATGTTTTATATATTTATGATGTTTGCGATAATGCCATCTATAGTCTTTAATTTTCTATGAATTTGCATCCTGCACTTTGTTTCTTTAAAACTCTTTTAAGTTAAGAAATTCAGAGGTAATACAGAAAAGCATAATGCACAAATGTGTAGATAATATATCCTTGTAAAACAAAAACCAAGTAAGCACCACAAGAAACACTATACCACCCCAGGTCCCATCCCTTCCTGTTCAGAGTGCCCTCTCTTCTCTCTGACACTAACCACTGCCAGCCTTTATGGTATTCACTCCCTTGCCTTTCATTATAACTTTACTACTTAACTTTGCACCACCAAACCACATAGTTTATTTTTGCCTGTTTTTGAGCTTAATTAAATAAAACCTTATTTGATTTCCTTTAAACCTATTCATTCTATTGTCTGACTTTTTTTGCTCTAATTTTGTTAAGACTCATTCTTATCCTGTGTATCTAATGTTCTTTCATTTTTTTGTTATAGAGAATTACTTTGAATCAGCATATTACACTGTGTTTATTGGTGAGCTATTGCTAGACTTTGGGGCTTTCTCCAGTTGCATCTGTTGTGAAGAGGGCTGCTAGGATCATTTGTGCCTGGGTGCCTACTGTGCCTGAACATGCATTTCTCCCCAGTGCATTCAGAGGAGTGAGATGGCTGGCTCATTTGGGGATGCAGATCTTCAGCTTTACTAGATACTGTCAAACATTTTCCCAATGTGATTTGCCAATTTATACTCCTTCTTTGAGATTTCTTTTGCTCCACATTATCATTAACATTTGTTTGGTATTGTCAGTCTTGTTAATATTAGCCATTCTCCTAGGTATGGGTAGAGGTTGTCTCCTTGTGGTTTTAATTGGCATTTCCTCTATATCTATACTTATATGCTTATATGGCAATTTGAATATCCTCTCTGGGGACATGTCTGACCTAATCTCTTGCCTATTTGTCTGTGAGGTTGCCTTTTTCTTGCTGATGGTGTATATTCTAGATACAATCCCATTATTGATTAAATATGACACAAATATCATTTCCCACTCCATGGCTTGTCTTTTTCTTTCTATAATGATATCTTTTGATGTACAGAAGTTCTTAATTTTGATGTTTTCACGTATATCCACATTTTCTCAACCCCAAATTTAGGGGATTGATAGAATCCCCTAAAAAACTTTTTTACTAAAGATTTTTATTTATTTATTTATTTGACAGAGATAGAGAAAGAGCATGAGAGGGGAGAAGGTCAGAGGGAGAAGCAGACTCCTTGCTGAGCAGGGAGCCCAATGCGGGACTCTATCATGGTATTCCGGGATCACGACCTGAGCCAAAGGCAGTCGCTTAACCAATTGAACCACCCAGGTGCCCTCCCCTAAATAACTTCTAACAAAGATTTCCTAGTCTTATTTTTTTCTTACATTTAGATTTCTGAGATGGCTAAAACTGGCTTTTGTGTTCATTTGGTTGGTTTTTCTGTCTTTGTGCCAGTTCAGTGTCTCATCAGTGTAGCTATATAGGATGTGTTGCTGTCCAGCTGGTCAGATCCTCCCACCTGGTTCTTCTTCAATATGAATACTTATTGAGTGCCAGCCATTCATCAGGCAATATTCTAGGCGCTATGAATACAATGTGGAAGAATATATAAAGATCTCTGTCCTCAAAGGAGGCATGGTGGGAGTAAATAAATAATTGAGCAAATAAGATTATTTCAGATATTGAAGAGACTTTAAAAAACAAAAATGTAATTAAAAAATTGGAAAAGCTAATGGGATAGAGATTTGGGCGCTATGAGGGTCAGGCTCCCTTAGCTTGCAGGTTTGGAGTGTAAGGAGTTGAGCCAAGCCTTGGGTGATGAGAAGCCAGAAAATGAGACCTCTCAGGGCCAGTCCAACATTTCAGTGACATGGAAGACTCCCCTTTTTTCTTAAGGCTGCCATATAATCGAGCTCCCCACAATGTTACCTCATACATGGGACAGCACAGCATGTTTGTGTAATGGAAAACAAAAGGAGGCAACATTTGGGTATGAAAAGTGCCACTTACATGTAGACATTTCTTCCCTTTTTAATTCAAGTTTAGGGGCAAAGAATCTATGATTCCAGGCAAGCAAGCTCTGCATCTTATCTATAAACTAATTTGTGCACACATGGGCTAAGGGGGTTTAAGGAAGAAGACCAAGATCAAGAGGGAGCAAGATGAGAAAGAACTGTGGATGGATGAGAGAAATGGAGAAAAGCTATAAGTTTTGAGCAACTGTGCATTCTTGATTCCCACTCTGTTACTTCCTAACCATGATCCTTGTTGTAAGACCTCACTGGGGCTCTGTTTCCTTATTTGTAAGGGTTGGATAAGGTAATCTCTTGGGCCTCTGCTAGGTAGAATATCAACTTTCTGAATGAATGCTGGAGAGTTTTCCTGACCTTCCCCCATGGTCTTCTCTGACTTTGAAAGCAAGGATCCAAAGTATGACTTTTACTGAGAGATTTTAAATGAGCTGGATAAGAGGGAATACATTGTGAACATTTTCTAACCTTTCTGATGGGAATGTAAAATAGTATAGCCACTCTGGGAAAAAAAAGTCTGGCAATTTCTAATTAAACCTAACCTGGGTTTACCATATGACCCAGCAATTACCCTCGTGCACATTTATCTCAGGGAAATGAAACTTAGTTTACATGAACCTACAAATAAATGTTCATAGCAACTTTATTCATAATAACCCCAAACTGGAAACAACCTAGATGTCCTTCTGTAGGGGAATGGTTAACAAACTGTGCTACATCCCTAAAAAACTG